AATTCTGCTTAACCAATGAAAGCAGGTATACACATAGCATTTGTGGACTCAAAGCAACCCAATGAGCCTATTGTTCCTTTTTTAAAGCAGCAACAACCCACCACAACCCTTCTGCTTCATCTGCTCCCAAAATGACTGACTTACAGATGAGCTGTCATGTCACAACTCTACAGGTTACGGGAAAGACTAAGTGGGGCAAATGCAGCCTCCAGAGTTTGCATTTTCATAATTGGGAATTCCACAGTTGGGCTGGGAAAAGATTCCATCCTAGTCTTTCCTTTGCAGTATGTGACAAGGCCAAACCAGGTGAAGGTAGCTGATGAATCTCAAACCCTCAGTGAGTTAGGGGCTTCTCCTGCATGCAAATACCAGCTCTGGCAGATTGAGAGGATTAGACCAATAGTGGGTCCAACAGTCAAGAAGGGCGTTTCTGTGCATGCTGTAGAGGGAAATGAGGGGCGTGACTACCTGAGAAGGTAGCCCATCTAGGAGAAGGAAAACTCTGATATCCTCCGGGATATCTTCGGCAAATGAAAAGGCTAAGGAGTAAATCCTTCACAAATCTGGTGTGGAGTCCCTAAGATGGTTGGATGGTGACTTGTACACCTCCTTTCGGCAACTCCTGCAGCCAAGCTGCTGCCAAATTATTGCTCTACTTTCCTTCGGACTACAAGGCCAGGAGGGGGGTCTTGTTGTCTGGGTAGCCCAGGACCTCCATACACACTGCCCATGTTTGCATCGTGGGGAGGTCACTTTGGTACTGCAAACACAGCGGTCTTGCTTCACTCCTGGAGGTGCACTCCATTGTCTTTCAAGATAGATGGATGCCAACAGACATGCTGCAAGGCTTGCTTGTTTGCTTGAGCCTGCTGCAGGTTACTAAGCTTTTTTCTTGGCCTACATAAATTTCAAACATATTTATCATTCCTTCAACATTCTGCCTATGGCACACAATCATCAAGATCCAAAGGGTGAGATACTGCTCACGGACCACATCTACACACCAACAGGCCTGTGGAGTGGAAATTCCCCCCCCCACCGCTTCATTTTTTTTATGGAAAATGTTTCATTTCATAGGTTCTTAAGTATTTATAAATAAATTGATGCCATTTGGGACCTTCTGGTAAAGGGTGGGTAATAAATTTTAAAGTATGATACTAGGTAACCTTGACAGTTTCAACTTCTTAGCTTTATTTACTAACTACAAGTAAAATAAACATTCTAAATGAGATCACTCTCTGGGGCATTATAACATTTTTTTGGTGCGAATTGCTCTAATTTGCATAGGAAAATTCCCCAGTTCTTCTGGAAAACCCACATCACTGCACACCAAGCATGGAGAACCTTTGGTCCTCCAGATGTTGCTGAACTACAACTCCCATCATCCCTGACTATTGCCCATGTTTGTCTAGGGTTGATGGGAGTTGAAGTTCAGCATCAACTGATGGTTCCCCACTAAAGTAACCCCTGCACTTATTTTTTATGTTACAGCTTACCAGAAGATTAGTCTTCTGGGGTGAATGGAAGGAAATGTTTTTCGATCCCAAAGGGATTGCTTTGCAGGACGTTACATAAATACTGAAAGCTCCTAATTATATGGCCCATCAGCCTTGGATGTAGGGTCAATCATAAAACACACACATCATCAGGAGCTAGGTAGGGGACAGCAAAGTTAGGAGAGCTACAATGCAACATCTTATGTATCTGCTTCAATTAATTTAACTTGATAGGCAGGCATACCTTTCCCTTAACTCCTCTTTTCACATTTGACTTTTTTTGTTGCTTTTACACATTACCAAAGCAGTGTGACAGCCACTGACGCTGCTAGCGTAATGTGTCACTCTTATATCTTCTCAGCTAGGACATACCACATGACAGCAATGCAATTTGGACATCACAGCATGGAGGTAGCTACACAAAATGGCCAAAAAGAAACTTGTGTGCATGGGTGTATTTTAGACAGATGGTCTTGACACTCAAATCATCACCCTGTCAATCAGCTCATGTTTTGCTATCTTGACATGTACAAAGTTCTCAAACACAGGAGCCTGCAAGCCAGTCAGATTGTTTCTGTAGAAGCAGTTAAGGCACATTAAACTACTCCTTTGTTGCAAATATGCTGTCCCTCCCACCAAATAAGGAGCCTAATTTGTAACTTTGGAATTCTGCAGTTTTTTCAAACGTGTTCATCTGCACCCAAATTTGGAAAACTAAACAGATTGTATTTTACTTACTGTTTTGATTGCACTGTACACATTTATGCATTTTTCAACCTGTCACAATTTCTCTCACACATGTATAAGTAATTTACAAATATAATGGGATCTATTTCAACAAAAGATTAGAATCTCACCCTACATACCAATCAGGGTAGGAACACAGACACAAGGAAATGGATTGAGATACCGTAGAGGATATACTTCCCTTGTCACTAGAATAATCCATTTTAAAATCCATTCAGCAGGATAATGTTATTATAGAAGGTAGATGCAGCAACCACTGTATTTAAACTTGTAAAACAGGTTTAGTGTAGAATGGAGTGGAACAGAATCTGATACAAGGTGAACTGTGATGCAGGCAAGCCGAACACAACGTCCCACCAAGCAACAGAAACAGGTTGTCTGAAATTGCAAATCAATTTCTATTCAACAGAATTAAAGCACAATCATTGTTTCAGACTACTCTCATTTGAGTCAGTCAAAGCAGCAACACACAGCTCATTTAATAGATGTGAAACTAAGGACGGGGGCTGTCCATTGCCTATTTTCCATTCTAAAACATACTGTACCAATGTATAAAATTCAGATATACAACTAGGTAACTATTTCTAAACAATTTTATTTAGAACATGTGTCTCATGTACTATTAGGTCTCACGTAGCATCATTTCCCTTTAATTAATCCATGCAATGTCATGATCATTGCCACATTGCTAATTACTCATTTTAATAGCCACTTCAGTAACAGTATTCAAAGAATAAGGAAAGTAGCTTCCTTTCTGATATTATATATCAAATGTGCTGGTTTCTGCCATTAAGGATTTTTTCCCACAATCTTCTATCTGTTCTACAGAGTTTCATCCTTAAGTCTACACTTACAAGTAAAGGCTGTGTTATATACTTTCATGTGTAATGCTCTTATTACACATGAAAGGTTTCCCAGGATGACCAACTGGGTACAATCTTAAATTTATTGTTATAGACATCTGGATGTCTGAGCCAATCACTCTGAACAGCCAAATAAGATACAATTTAAAAGGCAAGTCCAAGCTATTAAAAAGTGAACCTTAAGTTACTCTCATCTTTATGTGCCTTAGTAATCATTTCCAAAGTGATCATGATAGTAAATTGATAACGACAGTAAAAAGGCCTCCTCTTGCTTTCAATAGGCTACAAAAGCTCTAAACATGATACATGAGCAGATGTTCTTAGCTCTGTTCTGAAACTGTTTTCTCATGATACGTGTAGCATTATCCATCAGTGAATTTCACACCAAATCTGGGTGGATTATTAAGACTTCAGTAGCTCATTAACGTTGCGAATGATTTGCTCTTCCTAGGTCTTTCTGCTGGTGGACTGAGCTAAATCATGGTTGAGCTCATAGTTTAGCTCTCTCTAGAGTAACTGAGCTCTAACCGGGTTCATGACTCATAGTTTGTTCAGAAGAGCTTGGCTGCAATCCTCACCATGTCCGCTCAGAGGTAAGTCGTATTGAGTGGACTTTACTCTCAGGTAAGTGGGATTAGGAATGCAGCCTAAAACCACAAATCTGAGTTGTGGCGTAACTCATTAACAATTTGCAATTTTGGAAACACTTTTCAAAATGTAAATATTTTTGTATACATTTTGTACACATTTTAACACTGTATATACATTTTAACCTAATACACATTTTATATGCATTTTGGTTCATTTCAAGCTGGAACTGAATTGCAAAATTAAGAGAAGTGTGAAAACAGAAGGACAGGTGCACTGTGGTTCATATAACAATCTCAGAAGTATGAGATGAGTCACTTAGAAATGCAGACCAAACAAAACTTGTGATTATGTGCATTGGTTGGTGTCCATATTTATAAGAACATTTATTCAAAGTGAGGGGATGTCCACCATAGAGCAGCATTTCTCCTAAGTTATGAACATTGTCAGAAAATCTCCTTTCTACACATTCTACACGCCTACACATTCACACTAAGCCATAGTTTGGGCTTAGCATGATGCACAAAGCAGGTGACTGCAGAAGGGCTCTGGTTTAGGCATACTTTGAAATCCATTTTTTAAAAGGTGTTGTGCCTTTGCTGCTGTAACAAGATGGACACAGGTCATTGGAAAGGCCATGGAAAAGCAACAATTTAAAATGTGATTTCCCCCTCAATTGGATTCTCGGTCCTCCTCAACTTCTGAACATATGAAACCTAAAATCCCTGTAATACAGGTGTTGGCTAAAAAGGAATGTGAAGGTGAAATATAAGATACAAATAGGGAAAGGAAATTAGGGAAGAAAGAGGAATAATATAAAAATAAAATATCTTCTGAAGCCTCCATAATATTTAAAATTATCGCTCATATCCCTGATATTAGCCCTTTTCAAAATTTAGGGCGTCAGCATGGTCACAAGGGCACACTGTGTTTGGGGTGAGGCTAACCAGTGGGCCCAATTAGTGGGTCCTACTACATGTGTTGTGAATCAACCAAAGACATCTGTGCAGGGGAAGCCTATGTGTTTACGACTGTGTAGAAGCCTTCTTACCTACAACCAGAAGTCCTGAGCCATCAGGGTTGTAGCTGCATATACGTCTTAACATATACAGTTGCACATACAAACCCTTCATTTTACAGACATCCACATCAGGATACAAAACTTCAAGGCAGATATGAAAGGCTAACCAGCCATCAGATAATAAAAAGACTATCCATCACACATGCCCTATGCAAATCAGTGTAAGACTGATAAGGAGGGTTGTTTGTGTGTGTTTCTTTGGGTAAGTTAGTTTTTTTTTTTATTGACCTGCAGAGAATAGCAGTACTCCAACTCTGTTTTAAAATGATTATTCCTTGACAGACAGGACACCATTAGCTTAATTTTGACTTGTGCTCCCCATTAGTATAATCTACCCTGAGATATTTCAGTGACAGTAGCAAATACCACTTTGAAATGAGCTCTCTCACTTCAAAGTTAATTACATGTATTTGGTTTTTGATAAATGAAAGCATCAGATGTGATTAATTGAAGGACAATCAATAAGATATAGCTATTAGACATCTTGATGAGCTCTCCAGAGCCACTGGACAATCTATAGCAATCAACTAACTGAAGTGTGCATACTAGGTCCTCAAATGATTCAACTAAAATAAACCAAACAAAACTCAGACTTTTTCTAGGGGCCCATTTCCTTTTTCTTAAGCTGGAGACACAAGCAGGCAGGCGGTCTTTACACACACACACAATCTCAAACCCAAATCAAACTAAAGACACACAGCTGCATTGTGATTTTTCAAACTCATACACCACTGGACAACACATTCAGCTGTTACTTGAAATGTGGGTGGTTCGTGCCACCCAAAAGACACAATGGCAGTCTTTTTGCTGACCTCCAGCCTTTTGTTGGTCCATGGGTTTAATTCTCACTTTGGGTGCAAGGGTTTGGGGTTTCAAGCCCTGCCATGCATGATAGAAATGTGTGCAAATTTAAAAACCACAGAGGTTACCAACAGTCTGAAGATATGACAAGTAGATGTGTTCAGAGGCTAAACTTCTAACAACTAGGAACAACTTGAACAACATATTGCTCTGTACTGTCTACATTGACAGTGGCTCACCAGGTTTGAGCACAGAACATTTCCAGCACTAACTGGAGATTCTGGAGATTGAATGTGGGACCTTCTGCATGCAAAGCAGATACTTGACACTTCCCCTAATTACTCTGCTTAAGAACTTAACCAGTTCTGGAGGTCCATTCTTAACCTGAAACTGTTCTTAACCTGAGATACCACTTTAGCTAATGGGGCCTCCCGCTGCCGCTGCACAATTTCTGTTCTCATCCTGAAGCGAAGTTCTTAACCCGAGGTACTATTTCTGGGTTAGCATAGTCTGTAACTTGAAGCGTCTGTAACCTGAAGCATCTGTAACCTGAGGTACCCCTGTGTAGGGGAAGAAACATCAGAGAGCTTTTGCCTTCATGCTCTCCGAGTTCTGAGAAGCAGCTGTCTGGTCACTACAGAAACTGAGGAGATGGAGCCTTGGCCTGATCTAACAAGGATGTAAGGTCTCAATCCGGAATCCTTTAAAATGCTTTTTCTTCCAACTTCTACACACCAAAGACTGCTGAAATAAGTTTAATATAATATATGCCTTATTTTACTCATATTGCAAGGCTAATGCAAAGCAATCAAAATCTTAGAACAAATTATTTCCTTTTATTTTGACACAAAGATTAGTAGGTGGAAGATGAGGAAGAAGTCTCAAATGATGATGCATCATGTCAGAATGGGAATTACCCTTTTCCACTTCTAAGAGACATATACAAGCGTGAACGGAACAATCTGAAGGTACAAAGCAAGAGAATTTTATCAAATGTTTTATAAAAATATGGAAACATAACTGCATTTCACAAGTATGGTATGTAAGTACTATTAGCATAAATGCTGACAACTGTTAATCTACTAAAGCCCTGATTAATGGATACAGCTGTCCATTAATACTAGGCTACGAAAATTGATTAGTCAGTTAAGAATTCAATCCTCTTGTTCAATAAAACTGCACTTTCTCTGAAAATGCAATATGGAATAAAGTAATGCATCTGCCAGCACTTACATATATTACAAATATACCTACCACATATTAGAAAAGAAAGCACACTGTGTTTTAATTGTATTATTTTTACTATTTCAGATGTGGCATCAAGCAATGCAGCCCCATGTAGATGGGTGATGGATGAGGATTACATCCACTCTGCAACATGCCATAATTGTCCACACATACCAGCCCAATGTGCACTAGCCCAATCTACACAATTAGTCCTCAAAATTAAAGGGTCATAATTGCATGGACTGGGACTATGTGTCAGATTCAACATATGGCCTGATTTTAAAAATTATTTTTAACTGAAGTATTTAGGTAGATAACAGCTACAACAAATTGGAATATTAAAACAAACACAAATTGTAATACAACAGCTAATTAATCAGTATGAATTACTAAGCTGAACTGAGTCAACTCAATGTAGGTGAAGATTTGACCACAACACAAAGGTCTTAGAACTTCAGCTCTTACCTACCAACCCAAGGAAATACATGAATGGAGCTTGGGAAACTATTTGCATAGTTGGCCAACAAAGGGTATCAGGAAGGCTTGAACACAGGGAAGGCAAATGATGATGGAAAGGCAGATACTGCTAGATCCCAATTCACTGAAGCCTCCCATATTAAATACCTTCTGGAGGATAGGTCAAATGATATTACACTGACCATGGGAAAGTTTCTTTCGGAGGTTGCAAGAAACAAAGACCATCACGCTCTAGACATAACAAAATGACTACCTCGGTCTCTTTCACCTGTTTGGTTGTTTTAACTGTATCTTGTTTTGAAACTGTTTTGTGGGTCTATGGATTGCAATAAAGATATTTGATCGCTATGTAGTTAAAGCCAACCATGGTTATTTATTTTTAATGGTCCATGATAGAATTTACCATGTTGTCCCCACACTGAAAAGGCAAGGGACTTGCGTCTAAAAAACTTAGTCCAGGCCAAAACACGAGCCAAAAAACAGAGCTACTGGCACCATCAGAGATGTGTCATAGTTTTGCTGAATGGGATGTCTGAAAAAGCTAATATGGGGGCAGTGCACACCTGTCCCTGAGTTTGCATCAGGTTTGTATCCCAGATTTACAATCTTTCACATAAACTTTTCCAGACCTTAAGGTATATTTTTAGAGTACACTCTCTTGCTATCCACTGACTTTAAAGAATCTTTAATGTTTCACTCAATATTGCTCATGTTTGTTGCTTGTTTTGAGCAGAAAACAGCAGACACAAAACCCCCACTGATTTTCACACACACATATATATACTACTTGAATCTGCCTCTGGCTCAAACTCTACCACCTAGTTTGTGGTATAGTTGCATAATCTCAGCCTTCAGGTCAACCCTAGGCTATGTTTTTAATGTGATGTTCTATCCTTTTTCTACATGTCCATGTTGGAATTAGACTTCTAGGGAATAGAGATGCTAACAACAGAGACTCCAAAGGACCTGAAACTGTGATATTACAAACAGTATTAGTGCTACCATAATATTATGTGAAACTCTGTATCTTCTGATTAGGTGTTAAGAAAATAAGTGTTATAATAAACTGACATTTCGCTCCTTTTGGTATTTGGTAATGACAAGAGTTTGGAGAGGAGCTGCATTTACTTATCTGAAAGGACAAGGCCGTGAGCAGATCCTTTGTAATCCCCCTCCCCCAAGAACAATATCCTCAATTATGTTTGGAACAGCATTTTGGCGGACAGGTGCAAAAACACAGGAGTATACTGAAACCAAACAGAGGCCAAGCTCTGTGATCATTAGCAGTCCTAAGAAAGACTTCTATTGTGTCTGTGTTTTTAAAACTTTCAAATGACACTTCCCACTCATTTTAAACCAACACACATTTGAGGCTGGAAGGAAGATTTCAGAAACTTTTCCTTCTGCTTTTGATAAACTGGGTTTTCTTGTTTCATCTGAACCAAAAAATTGTGGCTACCATGTGCTTCCTTTTTTTTTTTTTTTAAGCCAACAATCATTAATCTTTTTGTAAGTAAAACTTTACAAGTTTTAAAAGCAGGACAGAAGTGTAAAAATAAACAAAAACAAAAAGCAGAAATAACAGTCTATAAAATTATGGCAAGTTTTAAATTCACTCTAATACTTCCTTTATCGCTAGGGAAGCATATTACTGAAAAATGAATCAAACAACTGCCGTTCACTGAGCTCCATGGTTACATATTTAACTGGTGTTCCAAAAAATGTGCAAGTAAATGTTAGAAGCATAAGAATACATTAAAAATCAATCAATATTAGGTACGGTTAAAAGTATAAATATTTTTCAAATTCACCTTTCAGCCTTCTTCACAGAATTTCCATGTCTACAAGTGGATGTTTAAAAAAATGAGGATTTACCCTCATAGAGAAGTTATTCAAATAAATAAAACCAGCTTCTCCACTTTATTATTTATACTTGGATCAAAATATATGTATCTTTTGATCTGTAAATATGGGGGAAATTATACAATCCCCATTTGATGCCAGCAGTGTCCCTCCCCAAGCCAGTAAGTACTTGTGGAAAAATACCATTTGTACAAGTGTCTCCATGCGGGAGGAGAATGTCTCTCACACATGAACTCTGAAAAGCGAATCATAGAAGCTGCAACTAGATGAAGCTTTCCCCAAGTCTAGCTTCTTCCTATTATACAGATTTTGGTAGAAAGTCTGTGGCTCTTTGAAGAAAGCTGTGTGATAATATTCTTTCTTTTTTTTAAATTTGCTTTTTATTGAAATTTCCACAAAAAAACAAAAGACATACAACAGAGGAAAAATAAACAGACAAAAATAAAAATAAAACACTCTTATTAATCAATTATAAGTATCATCCACTTATTTACACAACGTTAACACATGTCTTGATAATATTCTAACCCAGAGAAATTAAGCCCTCCATGGTTACCGAAATCCTTCTCTGTCATTCTGTTATACAGGGGCTAAAGTAACAGTACCCCTACATCTGTGTTTCTTTCTACATCAGCTCTGGATAACTTTAATTAGTAAAAGTCTAGGCAGAAGCCTTCGACAACTTTCAGACATTGCATCGCCTGGGTTGTATCCAACAAAGTAATTCTGTTAGCGCAAGAACTTCCACTTGCAAATGGGACTTTCTCTCCCTCTCCTCTCCCCATGTGCCCCCTCGAAATCGTGATGGTTGGGTGAAACCCCAGGACAGATTTTGAGGGTCAGAGGAACAAATCTTCGCACTAATGGAGCAACTTGGTTGGATACAACCTTCTAAGAGTGACTTTCATAGGAGCCACTGTGGCTTTGTTTCCGATTCAACACAACAGATCCGGATGAGAAACAGGCAAGCAACTTCTCAAGCTGATGATTCACTGAAGCTACAAACGGTAGTAACCTACCATGAGGAAGAGATTCCTCACTTCTGTCTGCATTCACATGACCACTGACAGCCAGAAAATCACTGTGCTATGGATTCAAACCCAGACTAAAAATAAATAAATCCAAAAGCAGACAAGTGTAGCATTCTCACATGCCTCACATATTGTGCAAAATAATCTATTTGGCGTAAGGAAAATATTTAATGGGCTGGCCTGTTCCCACTGCATTACAGAATTGTTAGTACAGTGTTATGTCTGTGTTTATTCATGAAAATTAGTAAGGGATGTTTCAGCTATTAAAGGAATGTATATCCTGTCTGATTTTGAAGTAGCATTGTAGGAAAATGTATCCTCTTCACTTACTTCCTGAGAACCTGACCAACAACACTACTGCTTTGAGAGTGATGTCTCTCGGGGGCTCTTGTACTTTCTCTTCAGTTTTTGCTATTACTTATAGCAGCAGAATTCTTTTGTAGGCCATCCGGAATGTACAAACATTGAAAAATGGAGGGGGTGGGGGAGCTGTTAAGAAAAAAAGACAGGGATAATAAACCTTTAAGTGATCAAGTTTCTCAGTAAATCAAAAGATATGTGGAAACACAAATTTGTGTGTAACTATTACACATCTGAATATCCCATGATCTAGACACTGCTGCTTTCAAGTACTATTTCAATTCCTATGATTTAAACTGACAGTTCAAACTGTCACTCATAATCCTTCTATCACTTAGCAAGGATAGAAGAATAAACGCTTCAAAAGAGGAGAGGAGGTACTGCCATTTATCGGGCTACGACCTCAAAGGCAAGACACTTAGAAATTTACTCAGCTTACTAAAGATCCCCCTCACACCTCAAACACTATACAAACTCAATATAAACAGTCTCTAGGAAGTAGTATTTCTCCAGAAATCAATCACAATAGTATATTTACAATATACTGGCCAACCAGGGATAATATGAGTCAGGTTTCACTAAGATTTAGCCCAAGAACCTATTTTCAATGTAGATTCCCAGAGCACATGAAGTCATAATATAGAGTGCCTGAAAAAAATACACATGTATGTTTTCCTTACTCAGAGTAACCACAACTAGCTTCTACGAATCTAGGATTCATGGTGTGCGTAACTGACCCACAAGATTTGGTACCACAAGATGTAGTGATGACCACCAACTTAGAAGGCTTCAAAAGCATATTAGAAAAAATCATGGAAGAAAAGGCAATCACTGGCCTTGAAAACAATATACTACCTATAGAATCATAAGCACCCTATGATTACTAGTCATGAGAAGGATATTGTCCTCACTCTGTTTTTGGGTTTCCCATAAGGCATCTGGTTGGCCCCTGTGGTAAGTAGGATGCTTGTCTAGAAATGCCTTTGGTCTGATCTAAAAGGGCTTTTATTGTGTTCATAGGATTAGAGATAAGATTTTGAAATCAAAAAGTGGTATCTCCATGGCACTCTTTTTTTTAAGAAATAGATTACTGCCTCTTCCTCACTGTGGTCTTGGTTTGCAGCTTTTCACTTTATATTGTGGAAAAACTGAGGCGGGTGAGATTTTCAACGCCTTCTCTAAAGATGGTCAATAGTATGAGGGAGCAATGCAGCACTGTGAAAGATAATCAAATAATAATTAGCTTCCACAAGAACTTTGCCAAAGAAAAGAGCAGTCTTCAGGGCTCTTTTTGGCTGCATCTTGGCTCTCACACTGTGTTCCACATGTCCCAGAATACACATTAACTTGTACAGTATACTTTCAGCCATGTGCTCCACTGTTACCATGGAGCCAAAAGAGAACATGACTGAGTTAGCTCACAAGTATCTGCAATATAAAATCATTGAATGTGGTTTGTGGCAATAGCGCAGTTACTTTTTTGTTTTATGTTATTAAAGTACACTATTCCTTAAAATGCCAGCAAATGGAAAAATAGTTCAATAATTAAGATTTGTATACCACTCTTATTAAAAATTACAAAATAGTAAAAAAGAAAAAGAAAAAAAAAGACAGACAGCAGTTATAGGTCAGAAAGGGCTGCAAACACTTTTGGCATTTTTCTACAGGAAAAAGAAAATGCAGATTCAGAATATCAAACACCAGTTGCCATTTCCAGTCAGAATCTCTTGAAGTGCACACCTTAGGGAGATCTCTGTTCCTATGCTGAGACACCTCACAATATGTGCTCTCCTCAATTATTTTACCAATGTTGGACTATTGTGAAGTGAATTCTCTATCAACTAGTATTTTCAAACAATCTACTTCTGCTGAGCTGCAGCCACTTCCCACTGTTCCATTAAAATATGGATTAGTGTCGCTTTTAACTATACATGCACACAATCAAATTCTCCCACAAAGGAATCTCATCTCAAATGGAACCATTTAAAAGTCCATTAAGAATCGTGGCTACAGTTTGGGACAGCAGCTTAGAGAGACTGTTGAGCACCAAAACTATCAAAACTGCTGATAAAATATCAGATGTTTTTGCCCTTGTTTAGGCTCTTTTGTCTCCTGTAAGTACAGCATATGAGACAAGAAGTTACAGGTATTGGTGCCAGTCCTGTCACAACACATGCTATACAGCCAGTAAGGTTTGTGAAAAACTCATGATTTAGAAAGGTTGGGGGGAGGAATGGTGTCACAGACAAATTATCAGTCTTTATTCTTTATCTAGTTGTCTCTATTTTGGCAAGATGTCATGAATTAGCTTAGTTTAATAAACCCGTCAGAGAATGTGTTGGGGATTGTTAACGTACAAAAGCTCAAAGTAGCTATATGCATGTGAAGAACAAGCTCAAATCAGAACCACAGATGCAGAAAAGAATAGCAGAATAAACAGGTGGCAGTGATAAGTGGCAAAAAAGTGTTGAATGGAACAAAGGGCTAGAACAGTTGAAAGAGGAAATTGTGTAAATTGCTTAGAGGTTTTCATGATGATGCAGTATACAAATTCTGTTTAACAAAAAAAACCCCATCAACATAAAGAATGGATCACACAACTACTGGGGAGAAACACCAACTCCAGAACACATATTCAATCAAACTTTTTGAAAAGATTCTATCGCATTTTCACAGCTTCAAGGAGTTCAGCAATCTTGTGGAAACCGTTACTATTTCATCATGCTGAAACATCACTTTGGGATCACAAAGTGCTAAAAAGAAGTTTATAAATATTGCAAAGAAATAAAAATAAACTGGTGAAGGTAATTTTTGAAGCAGTAATTTCTGGCAGAGAAGTTGTGGAGATAACCATTTATGTGAAGAAGGTGCTCCCCTGTTTTGCTTTTTTCATTTGTTTATTTAGAGATTTGCTCATAATACATTTTGTTTAGCCACTACTGTTGCATTAGTATGTGAAATTCTATCGAGTTTTTATGCTTGATTTTTACTTGTAGTGTTTCTTGAGGTTTAAGAGGATATTTTGCTTTGCTGTTGAATATACTGCTTTAAATATGGCTCTTGCATCCTGCATTTGATTTACATTTGTAATTTTTTATTCTGATATTTTGCAATGATAATTTAGATGTTATAAAATTATGCTGTATACCACTTAGAGCTATTTTTATTTTACTGGAAATGTAAAGTGGTATATAAATCATCTATGGGAGTCTTATTTGAACCGCAGGAAAGGAACGCTTGCATTTGTTCACTACACCAACAAACAGCAAGAAAAACACTATTTTGAAATACCCAAAGACAGATGTCAGCTTTCAAGTCTTGCTATGGTGAGGTTAAATCATGACACGGATACTGAAGAAACCTGAAAATCAAACCTTTTATACTGCACTGGCAATATCCACATGGGCAATAAGTCAGAGTCAGTATCACTTTCAGAGTAAACATATGACCAAACACAGTACAACTTTTCAGCTTCCTACGGTGTCACAATAAATGACAGAGCAGGCACTTGCTAAAATGTTAAGACCACACACATTCTATGGCAATTACTTGGACACTTTCCAACATTCCATCTGCAAAGACATTGTGGAAATGTCTTCTCAGTGACTTGCCTTTGTCCTGGATAAACGCAGTCACCCAAAGTATAAAAGAACATGCAAGGAAGATAAGATGTGCTGTAAATGAAAGGCAGGTTCTTCCAGACTGTGTCATCCCAAAGAACTGCACAAAGAAAGAGGCACTATCTTGTCTCACTGGGACCTTTGCTGTAGACACATGCTCAGGTGTTACTCATGTGGATAATTGGGCCCAAGGCAGCAAGAATGCACAGGCTTAACTGATTGCAGCAAACTGATTGAGCGGTATATAAATCTTGCTAAATAGAATACCGGCCTGGTAAAAGCAGTATGTGGAGCAATTGCTGGCTTGAATGATATGATAGAAAATGTTTTAACATCACTGCAGATGCTAATTATTATTTGCTAATCACCTTGGGAATTTGTTTGAATGATGGGATAAACTTCCCTATAATAAATTTGTATTTATACTTTTTTCTGTTGTGTTGCAATATTTTCTAGTTATTTATTATTTTTACCAGAGCTACCCAACCATTTGTCACACATACTTCTCTATTAAAAAATATTTAGGTACTTCTAACAGCAAGAGGTTAACTAAATATCTAGATCAAGAAAGGGCTCAAGTAATAAACTGATGCCAATTTTTGAAGAATTCCAGAACTCCTTACAAACAATGGATTCATTTATTCAGAAAGCTCAAGAGTTTTAAATGCTACCTTTGCTAAACCTTTGAAATGGCAAAAATGTAGCAGGTCTCTCTCTCTCTCTCTCTCGTGAATAAGGGGAAAAATCTAACTTTACATAAATTAAATATATAAATTTGATTAAATATGTTTGTGCCTTTGCGATGACATTTAGAAAAGGAAGTATTCATTTTCTGTTTAGAAAAAGAAAAACTCTTTCAAATGTAATTTGAAGCTGTCAAGCCAATCTCCTTTACAGATCTTTTAAATGTCACCTACCTTCGGAAGGGAATGGCAAATTCCTTACAAAACGTGCAACTGCAAACAGGCCACGTTAAATCAAGAATTTATTAAAATAAGCCACTGACATTTACATTGATTAAGCGTAGCCCTTTTGCTTTCTCCCTTCTGCTAGAAGCCCTTTCAAAAGAAGTGTCACAACATCTTATACTGGCGTTGTTCTTACAGTAATTCCGAAACACATAACTAGGCGTTACGCAGGCAGCTAACTCATGAAAAGGGGCTGCGTGAAAAGAACTCGCTGGGTGCTATGCATGGAGATTAATGCGAAATTGTAGTTGTTCTACATTGGGACTTGGTGGGGTGTTCCTTTATTATTTCTACCCAGCATCCTTGAAATTTACAGCCATTTTTTTTTAACTGTGCTTGGTATAAATCAATTACAACACTACACTTAATAGCTTTAAACAAAAGACTATATTAATCATAGCTTAAAGAAAAGACTAGCACTACTCACAGTCACAACATGTATTAGTGAACTCTACAGTTTAGCTTATAAAATCAGCATTTACAGTTCAGATGCTTTTTTTTTTTAAGCCTCAATAAGGGCAGTATTTCTTGTAAAATAGAGGGAGAAGACAGCACTTAAAAGTGATTGTGACACACACAACCCTGAGGCAGACACGTTAACCCCGCTTAACCACTGATCATAGTTTTAAAACTATTCTCACCCTTTGGTCCACAATATTTTAGCAAGCTATGAATTATGATTTTCGACCATGTAGGGAATGAAATACCTCCCATGCCTCATCATGTACAAGCACTGCTGACTCGTAACAACCACCAACAGAATTTAAAGGCAGTATTTCCTGTAAGTCGTCTCCTGCAAAAGCATTGCTATAGGGAAGCCTGCTACTGAATCTGTAACAAAGTGAAGGAGATTAACTATTATTCCAAGGTATAAAAATCTGCTTCTGATCTATAGTTACTCACAGGGAAGTGTGAAAAGGGTTAATTCTCAGCTAATTAAAAGGTGCTGTGTGGAAAGGCATCATGAGAATAAATATTCAGTTCTACATACTGTTAAACGTTAATCTCTCTCTTCTCTGAACTAAGAGGAGACTTAACAACAGAGGGCACATACTTGCACACACAAATGCAAAAGATACTTAAAAGTAAAGGTAAAGGTATCCCTGCCCGTACGGGCCAGTCGTGTCCGACTCTAGGGTTGCGCCCATCTCACTTAAGAGGCCGGGGGCCAGCGCTGTCCGGAGACACTTCCGGGTCACGTGGCCAGCGTGATGAAGCTGCTCTGGCGAGCCGGCACCAGCGCAGCACACGGAAACGCCGTTTACCTTCCCACTATAAAGCGGTACCTATTTATCTACTTGCACTTAGGAGTGCTTTCGAACTGCTAGGTGGGCAGGAGCTGGGACCGAAAGACGGGAGCTCACCCCGCCGCGGGGATTCGAACCGCCAACCATGCGATCGGCAAGCCCTAGGCGCTGAGGTTTTACCCACAGCGCCAGCTGCATCCCAAAAGATACTTAGAAACAGCCAAATACCACTATCATCTACAACAGCTATTTTGAAATAACTATACATCGCGTATGCATCAAACGTCATGCCTCAAGATTTGGAATGTGGTGCCATCAACAGGCAGGTAGTACCCAACTCTCTCCCCACTTTCTGGTTTCAGGGAGGGTATGGAGGTTCTGAATTGATGACCGTTAGAGAAATGTTTGGCGCAGTTAATGGTGTTCAACATGTTTCAGATGTAGACTGCCCATTAAGAACCAGGTTTTCAGCTTAGGAGTGCTCCTGAAGTGATGTGTCAGCTGTGGCCAAGAGTGCCCAGCAAAGGTGCAAGTGGTTCCATTTCCTGGAGGCTGGCATGGCCACTGTCACACATGATCCATATGCATCATATAGGATGTGTCATTCTAGGGGGTAAAAGTTATTTTTTGCAATTTCTTCAGTGGAGGTCTTAAAAATAGTTTTGGGCTGTGAATAATACAAAACCTGCCATTATTTTTGTGATTGGACAACATTTAACTTGGCAAGTTTACATCTGATGAAGAACTACATAAACTGGTGTCAGAAAACGACAGAAGTTTAATTTTAGCTTCTGAAAATATCAGGTAATGCTAAATAAGAATAAAAATAAGAATATTAATATATACTTCAAGTACTTGGCAATCATTTTTAATGATTTCTATGCAATTTTACACACATTCTAATTACCAACCAAAACTAAATTATATTAATTTAACCAAAATATCTTTTGAATTCCTAAGTTATGTTTAAACTTTTTAGCACCCCCTCATTTTCAGAATTTGAACGTTGGAAACTACAACACACCCTACTGCATCAGAGTGGGGCTGGTCTTCAAGAACATTGAAAAACTATCCATGACACTATCAATGTTTTAGCCAACTCATTACCTACCCTAAAATAGAAAATGAGATGATTTAACATTAAGATCTATTGCATGCAGCACAAGCTAGTTTGGGTGGGAAGAAGTGTTGACACTGACTATGTATAAATGATGTTTTGTTTTTAAATGAGATTGGCTATTTTGTATGCTATTTTCTAAACTTAATATCTCAGCAATGAGAATGAAGTAGTTTTTAGAGGGCTTTTAAAAAAGATAATTTCCAATTCATTTCGAAATTTAAAGCTGGTACCACGAATTAAGGCTTCAAAGCCTTACATGGTTGTGTCTAGAATATCTTAAGGATGGCCTTCTCCAATTGGAGAATGCCCACATGTTAAGGTCTTTAGGGCAGGCCTGTGGCACCACTACTAGAAGCACAGTAGATGGGGAATTTTCATTGCTGGCCCAAAGCTTTAGAACTCACAGGCTCAGGAAGCGCTCCTGGCCCCTCTATGCATACAGGTGAAACTAAAAAAAATAGAATATTGTGGAAAAGTTCATTTATTTCAGTAATTCAACTTAAAAGGTGAAGTCCAGGGTCAATGCAGCCATCTACCAAGAGATTTTGGAGCACTTCATGCTTCCTTCCACAGACGAACTTTATGAGGATGCTGATTTCATTTTCTAGCAGGACTTTGGCACCTGCCCACACTGCCAAAAGTACCAAAACCTGGTTCAATGCCCATGGGATTACTGTGCTTGATTAGCCAGCAAACCCGCCTGACCTGAACCCCATAGAGAATCTATGGGGCATTGCCAAGAGAAAGATGAGAGACATGAGACCAAGCAATGCAGAAGAGCTGAAGGCTGATATTGAAGCTTCCTGGTCTTCCATAACACCTCAGCAGTGCCACACGCTGATAGCATCCATGCCACGCCGCATTGAGGCAGTAATTGATGCAAAAGGGGCCCAAACCAACTACTGAGTACATGTGCATGCTTCTACTTCTCAGAGGTCCAATATTGCTCTATTTGCAGTCCTCATTTTGCTGATTTCATTTAATATTCTAATTTTCTGAGATTGTTAATTTGGGGTTTTCATCAGCTGTACGCCATAAACATCACAATTATAACAAATAAAGGCTTGATATATCGCTTTGCATGTCATGAGTCTATCTCATATATTAATTTTACCTTTTAAGTTGAATTACTGAAATAAATGAACTTTTCCACAATATTCTAATTTTTTGAGTTTCACCTGTATTTTCATATTGCAATCTATACAGGATATGGTTACTTGGGTGCACCCCGACATGGGAATGTGCTATTAGTGAGTATTTGGCTTAGGTGGAGCTTGACTTAACAGTCTGATATTGGAGCTGCAATAATTATTGCTAATAATGTCGCATTCTGATTTATTGCTATTTTGATGGTTGTACTGTTATCATGATAAGAACTTCCATATTAATACTCTGTTCCATGTTATGATTAACAAAACTGTTTCTAGGATTGCTTTTACAAACCATAACCCCCTTTGTGACAACACAGCCATTATTATTCTTTTGGTATAAACATGTAAATTACAAGTGATTGTAAGGGCATCTAACTGGATGGAAGCACTGCTGCTTTCACTGAAACTTACTTCCAGGTATGTCTAGTATTGCAAAATTAATTGGTTTGAGTTCAAGGCCAACATTACTTTCCAAGAGTGCCCTGTCATTTCTAGGCCTTTTCAGGTTATCATTTCATAAAAATGCCAGCATCTCCAGTGGAATTTTCAAAGAGATTAATATCTAAAGTTCACTTGCATAGTACCATTGTACAGTTTACGTTAACATTAAGTATAGTTCTTTTTCTGAGGTTGCTTACTTGGAGGGCTAAGAGAAGACATATATGGGTTTGGTTTTTATACATGAATCCACTCTGGTTTAATCACATGGGTGAAAGATTTGTTTTGTTGCTATGGTCAGAACATCACATAATTTGTTATGTTTTACTCATACTCATACTGGGGGGGGGGGGGAAACAATCCAAAAACAGCACCCAGCAACAGAAGACAGCACTATGACCACAGCATTAGCCTGCCAAACAAACTGTGGACTGTGATATCCACCAACAAAATAAAACACGACCACCAAATGGCCTCCATAGAACAAGAAATCCACCTAAACAGCCATTCAGCTCATCAGCTAAAGGACAACTATAATCTGGAGGGATGAGACTATACAGAAAATGTGTGTTCCAATTGTCCTTATCTACCAGGGACAGTAATTCACTGCCCTTATTTTGCCATTTGGGGACATATTTTAATGCAAGGAGCTATAAGTGGGGAATAGTCAACATGATGCCATCCAGATGTTACTGGATTACCAATATCCACCAGTCCCCAACAGCAAGGCCAATGGCCAGGGATGATGGGAACTGCAGGTCAACCATCTCTGGAGGGCACCATGCTGGCTACCCCAGCTACAGAAGTTGTGGTTGAGGATTCAGGTCTTCTCTCCATGCTATCCATGAGTTAAATCTCCACAAGTGGAGAACAGAAGCAACTTGTCTCTAGTGTACATGCACTTAAATGGATGTGCATAGACAAGAAGGCATCATGAAGTGCACAACCTGGCATTTCACATACTGCACAGCTGCCATCATGCATTTTGAACTGTTAATAAGACATGATAATGATGTCATATGCACATAATTGTGGGTTCATATCTCTCTGGTATGCAGGCTGAGACCCTATCTGCCCGTGGACTCTCTCGCCAGAGTGGTGCATGCTCTAGTTATCTCCCGCTTGGACTACTGCAATGCACTCTATGTGGGGCTACCTTTGAAGGTGACCTGGAAACTACAACTAATCCAGAATGCGGCAGCTAGACTGGTGACTGGGAGCGGCTGCCAAGACCACATAACACCGGTCTTGAAAGACCTACATTGGCTCCCAGTACGTTTCCGAGCACAATTCAAAG